TAATAAAGGACTTCCGGTGCGTAACGATATTATTATTTTTAAAATACTCCTTCGAATGAGTTCACGGGAAATTTTGTGGACGCACCGGAGGAAATAGGTTCCTACGTCGAAAATATTGTGCTATAAGAATACATTTCTTAGCATGACGCGTATACATATATGCAAGGGCATATAAGGCTTCACTTATATTCGTAATTAATAATGGCTTGATAATTTGTTCTGGTACATCATTTTTGGTAAAACAAGACACCGCGGACGGGTCCCGATTATAATATATTTTATTCAACAATATAGGTATATAATGGTTATAACAGAAAATAATTTGCATCCCCGAAATTTAATTGCTCATTTGTATGGTTGTATTATTTTTTGATAATATCATCTTGTAACAGGTTTCGTATAACATTTCATTTTCTAATTAAAACAAATTTAATTCTTAATGAAAACCTAATTTGTAATACGTACCCGCTGTGCACGTCCTGCTTTCAGTGTAGGTATATATACAACGTATAATATACGTTATTTTCTCCCACAACACACACAGTACAGCCGTATAGGTATGAAACATATTATGCATAAATATATAATATATGTACGTATTAAAGTGGTATAAATCATAGTTTTAAATTAATGCGTATTTAGAAAAAAAAACCGATAAATCAATCCAAATGGAAAAAACACCATTTTACCTTATCTTATCTATTTATCTAAGACTATTAATCGTATATGTGGTTACACGTCACATATATTACACTATGTTGTGAAATAACAATTAGGTACATATTACCTACACATGAATTATTATTTATTACCTCTGTGTCTTGTAATGGTTGGAATTTGGGCAACCATTTTTGCATGGCACGTAGGTATATAATATAATATCATGACCGGCCCATCAATTTTGAAGGGACGATTATTGTTAGTGTTTTCGTTGTATACATTTTGAAATGAGTTTATAAATTGAAATATTTTATATACCTACCTATACTTATAAATCACTTTAAAGTTGTTTTTTTTTATTGAACTTAAGCCCGGTGACTATGGCCATTAGCTAGTTGTAGGGGTTATGAACTGTGGTTGGTAAGGTTGGTACGGTAAGGTGTTGTTACGGTCTATAAGCAACACGTGTGTAGCAAGGTTTTAACTGACACGAACCCGGGTGGTCACCCATCCGGAAGAGCCGTGACAAGCCACTCTTTAAAGTTTAAGTATATAAAAATAAAATACAGTAAAATCGCTTTGCCATACTTGTAACTGTACATATTCAGTATAATACTTCGTCATTGAGTAATTTGTCGCTATAGTGGATATGTTTAATTACGTCAGACGAAAATATCATTCTGAGCAGAAATACAGTCTGTCATTTCCAAAGAGATAATTCATGTTAACTATATTACTTATACTGCTATTATAGTAAGAGTACCTATTAGTTATAAGTTAGATATTATGCTTGTAACACAGTTAGTGGGTTGAAATATTTTTTGCAATTATATAAAAATAACAAAATTATTTAATATACCTAATGTTACTAGCTGTTATTAATTTATAAATTAACTATATATAAATTAATACAATATTCCAAAATTTTAAGTACTTAAATTTAAAAGCTTAAAATAAGTACCTATATATTTTTGAAAATTTAACTTTACTCATATAGAAAATTATAATTTAAGTAAAAGCGGAATGTTTCAGTTTTATGTAGAAAATCGTATAGGTACGATTATTTTTTTGTTGAATAATAACAAAATAACAAAATCATTATACATGTTTAATCAACCCAATATCGTAAAAATGTACACTTCAATATAATTCAAGTAAATAAATCAAAACTATACATTTACCAACAGCAATGACCGTAAGTAATAGTGTTCGTCAATTTAAACTATGAAGATATAAATATTATACGCTCAAATCCTAATAAGTAATACCTATGTATGTACATGATATGCAAAATAGAATTTTGTATATTATTTATGGTAAATAGTTATTTCATTATATTTTTATAATGATCCAATTAATGTTGTCTTATTATTTTTCAAAAACTGATTACTACGTTATAGGTACGTTAAAGTGTTGTAAAATATAAAAATTTTGTTTGACATCCTCGTATGAGACTTATTTTGATTAAAATAAATATTTTATTAGCATTAAACATATTTCAAAGGCTTAAGGTATCACAAAAACATCCAAGATTCTAATTATTATTGTAATTTTGCCATGTATTAGAGTCTCATAGAATTTATTTGGCCCAGGCATCATAAAAATAAATGCAGATGGCCACGATGTTATATAATTGTAACTTGTAAGAAAAAGCTCACGAATTTTAAATTATATACGTTATTATGTGAACTAAGTTATGTGTACTTTTCGTATGGCTTGGTTTCAAATATTTTTGTAATATGTCATTAAATATAATCGTTATATTTTATAGTTAAAAATTATGTCAACACCGATTTAATGTATTATAATCTAAGAGAATATAATATGCAGCGATTTAATACATTTGAAATATAATTGTAACTTTTAAATAATATGTAGGTATACTATATACAGTATTATTACGAAGCATTTAATATTATGTGTCTATTGTCTAAACTCTACAACTTACAGGCTTAGATTTATAGGTTAGGTCTATAATACAGAAATTAAGTAAAAAAATATTATAAATCAGAATATAATAAAATTATATTAATAGGAAATCGACTACCTAATATGAACATTTTTTTTAGGTTTACAAAATTACGTATGATAGATATTAGGTATAAAACCTAAAATAAAAGTTATGAATGTTGTACTAAGTTAACCATTAAGTTCAATTTGGATCAATTTTTTCAAAAAAATGTTCAATTTGAAATTATATATATCCGTTATAAATATTATAGTATATTATTATACCTGGGGCTTGGGTCAAAAAGGGCCAAACTCACTTTTAATCACTTTATAGTAATCAAGAATAAAACCTCTTTTTTTTTTTTGTAGCAATTTTTTTTTATTGTTCATGTTTTTGTTTTTGTGATCGATGTAAATATAGTTTACCCTACATTTTAGAATATGGTGTGAATTTTTTAGTTAAATATTGAATATTTTCTATTTACATTGGCCCTATAAAATCATAATTAAAAAAAAAAAATCTTGACTTTCAAGTCATAATTTTATTTAAACAAAAGAGGGCCAATGTTCACATAGGTAGGCCCCATAGATTTTTAATTTTCATGACATTGGCTTTCTCGTATCTCGCACTAATGATTATTGAGATACGCCCTTTTACCACTAGAAAAAGCTTATAAAGTTTTATAAGATTGGCCATATAACTTATTTTCGCCAAAAAGTGAGATTGGCCCTTTTTGACCTAATCCCCAGATATTATTTTATACTCGGTATGGGAACGATGGAGTAGGTACAACTTATAACTACTGTTTACTATTTACACTATAATACCTAGGTATACAATAACTTACCTATTATAATGTTATTGTAAATTTGTAAATATAATTATGTATTATTCTATTTTATGTTTTGTTCGAGTGAATATCTTATTTGTAGTTGATAATATATGTACGGTAATAACATAAGTGGTTAAAAAATGAAACATCCTACCGAATAGTTATACTAAATAATATTATGGTTGGAATAAAACATCAGTATAAATTTGAATTATTATTTATTATTTATGACCACCCTCCCGATAGTGCAGTCTGCGCGCACGCTTACGCTATAAATGTATATGGATACCTATACACTGTGCAGGTACTAAACACACAAACAAGAGTGGTTCAATTCAACAACAATATAGAATCAAATGCTTAGGTACCTATTATATACATCACAATGCATGCACTATATGTGTCTATATTCAGTGTATAGTAGATTTAATTATTAATTTAAGTGTAAACTAAATATGTGCCGGCAGTTATGTATAACTGTAGCCATATACCAAATGTACATAAAATAATAAACACGGTGTACACGAAATATATATTAATAGGTACTGTTAAATATTTTAAATCTCGTCCGGTTGAAAGTGATGCACCTACCCATAAACGTCAACTTCTGTTTTACACTGCAGCGCCGTCATAAAATAACCCTAAATCAATTTAATGTACATAATATATAATATATAAAACAACATTTGTATAAGGTATGGCCTCCATATAGTAATAATGGTACCTATATAATATATATGTACAGCACATTATATACCATTAAAAAAAATTACACGTATAATAACGACACATAAAATGTTGTTTATTAATTGGTGGTTAATGCGCCGACTGACTAATTATGATTATTATTTATCTAACATAATTTTTTGCTACTTTATAACGCTATTAAACGCGCGTGATCTATAAAATTATACGACTGCAAACGTCAAAACACGGGAGTACGCAGCAATCAACCGCGGTATCGGTTACCTACGTTATATTATTATCCTATGCAGAACACGAGGGCATTATTAATTAATGTTTTTAACACATGATTATATAAACATTTATACCTATTATAGTATACATAGGAGGTGCTCCTGATTTGTTTCCCAGTGATGTTTTTTTACGTGCAGTCTATATAATTTTCTATATACTATAGGTATTTACCTTCGCTGCAGACTCGTATATTATTAAAATGTCATTGCGTAGGTATATTTGCATATTATGCTATATATTCGACCGCGTCCGAGGTTTTGACACGTAGGTACCTACCCACATTATGTTATAGATATACGTTTAATATATTTTAATAGCCAAGCGAGTATATTTAGACACGTTTTATTTGCATTCGTTGTTCGGATAAGTGTACATTATATTTTATTTATCGTAAGTTTTTTTAAAACATTTTTACCTAAACATTCGTTGCACTTAAAGCGCTTGCAATAATAAAAAAAAAAATTATAGCGTTGATTCGCATATTTTAATAACGTCCATAATTTGCTACCAATCTATTAAAACGAATACGACGGTGCTATACGGGCGACCACTCGTTAAGTATATTTTTTTTCTATTTCTTCAAACCGTTGTGTACCATTCTCGATTGTTATTACGACAATAACCCGTCCTCGGCTGGACATTTTTGTTCGACAGACATTGAGACTGTTTACTGCAGTGAAATCTATTCTGTAGTCCATCCAATTGTATCGTCATCATCAGCATCGTCCCGACGGCGATGGATAAGTCATCGTAACACAATAATATTATATTAAATTTATAACGTAAATGCATTACCGACGGTTTGATCCCGAAATTTGCACGTTTAGGCAACCGAGATTGCACGCACGCATATAAAGAACGGCGCTGCGCCGGAGTTGTCGGCTGGGTCTGTAGCGTGCCATTTTCCATGTGGAGTCTGAGTGTATATTATTCTATTATGTCGATGAAAATATTATCCTCTTTGACTGGAAAACGAAAACGGTACGTTTTTACGTTCTCGAGTAATGTAGGCGATAAATTAATCATTTTCTTCTGTACATACCGTTTGACACCATCACTCGATGGTACGCCTAACCTTCGTCATATATAATTATTATAATGTTAGGTTATAACGCCGGTCTATAATATAAAACTGCGAGCGTACACATTTCTGCATAATACTTAAATTTGAAGAATACTTTGATGCCTATACATCATAGACACTAGTATGAAGATTAGAGGTAGAACACGTGGAAATCACAATCATATTTTGTTTTTTAAACATTTGTGAATGAAAATATAGGAATTCGTATAATATAATAATGGCATTTAGATAGATACCTATATTTTAATAGGGTGTTTTTCGTCAGGACCGTGGGGCGTGGTGTTGTACTTCATAATAGGGGGGAGGAATGAAAACATAACAATAATTTGTAGCTTATGTAGATGTTAATCAAGACGTTATATGATATACAACTGCCGTACCTACCTACCTACTTATATTTTAAAATAACCTGCAGTATATAATATATGTATATATTCTCAATGATATGCGTAGTTATTACCTATAACTTACTACGTATTATATAGTTGTAATGCAAATTACAATAATGCTTCAGCCGGGTGCCACAAACACGCGATTTCGTTCGTCTTTTAATCACAGCGAACCGATTACATAATAATATATATTATGCTTATTATAGGTATATGTATTTTGCTGGTACAATAGGTGCTGCGTGCATGTATGGGAATCTCACGATTTCGTAGGTATATATTATAATACATATTGCTGTGTGGAATTTCCCTCGCAGCTATTGAAATTTGAAACCACTTGGCTATATTTTATATACATAGATATTCTGTATAATATGTGTAATGTTTATGAATTTCAGAAAAGTCTTCCTGTAAATGCACCCTGTATGCGTATGTATATAGCCGATTTTGAAGGAAGTATAATATACACTGTAGCATCACCACCGAGGAAGTCGACGTCCAATCGTGTCTATATAATTATTGAATAATAATTGTATGCAAATATTTGCTGCAAACGATGAGCAACTTTGTTGAATATCAATCAATCGAGTCTCGAGTGCACCTACTTCGAATCGGTTTTCTTTAACATCTATAATATTATAGCACAGAATGCAAAGAAACGCCAACAGAAAAGATTTTAAATATGTTTGAATGCAGGTATATCATCGTAACGAGAAGCTAGAATTAAGGGTATAGCAAGTTTTAACATATTTTATAATATAATTACTTCACACGAGGACATGGATCATACGCCGAATTGAGGGGAATCCCGAATCCCCAATATTGCAGTACTCCTGCATTTTTTTTTATGACCACCACGCGCTTACAATATAATTACCTAATGTCCTAATGTAACAATAATATAATATATAGGTAGGTACGGCGATCACACTGACTATAATCTACACGCTCTCGTGGTATACACAATATGACGTGTAATGTTATGTATGTATATTGTATAAGTAGTATTGCTGTATAGTATACATCGCCTTAGGTTAGTTTGTATATAATAGTGGTATAGGTCAGCGGAGTGTATTCCAGATAGGTACAATGTAAATTTAACGATATATGATGAATGGGTACTTCGTGAGTAAAGCATAATAATAATAGTAATAAATATACATGTACAAATGGTAATAAAATCAATAACGAGACGATCATAAAAACGAAATGGGCCTAAACGAGTGATCGCGCGCGCTTGTGATGCTTAAATATGTGTGCGGTGGTATAGGTACCTACAATGCGCGCACACGCGCGTTACAGACCGTATCGGAATATTTATTGGATCATAAAAAAAAAAAAATAAAAAAATAATAATAATAATGACAATAATAAAAAGAGAAGAAGTAGCCCTTTTTTTTCCAAACACGCTTATGCGCGTTACACACATATAATATGATATTATGTGTGAGTATTATGTGATGTGTATAATGTATATATTAAACAGTGTGTGTTGCGAGGCGTTGTATATAATATAGTAATAATGATAATAATCCCGTGTAATAAACTGTCCATAAATGTTACTGGTAATGGCTAATAAAAACGGCTGCCAACAAGCTACTCAATAATAAAAGGCAAATATTGTTGTTATTGGTCGTCAACCACGACTGCCGCCACCGACGCCGCCGCTCGCACGCTCACGCGCATGCGCGCACCATGCCCGCTCACGAATTTATATTTATTCGTAGTCGGTCGGTTTGCTCTCCGCAGTTTTATTGTCGTACCTAACAACACGTGCACCCGAAATCGACTGGCATTATTATTATTTTTTGTTCTGCCTGCAAGTCCGCCCTTGAAAGTATTTCATTCCCGTCGAAGATCAACCGTGCAGGTCCGATGACGGATTCAGCATTATATTATTTCAGTCGTAAAGTAATAAATTTATAACCACAATGGTACCCACTCGTGCTCAGGTGCTCTAATTAATTTGTTCAATATTTAATTCATCTGATACTATAATATCATCACGACATTGTTTTCTCCGATGTGTGTGATGTACCTGCCTATAAGTAAAATTGTGAGATATAATATTATGTGCACGGTTTTTAGATATTCGACGACGTTTCGACTGAGAATTGTGTTTTTTCTCGATTCTCTTATACCGAGGGGACATCTGTGGGTGGAAGGACGAAACGCGGGCGAGTGTGGGTGGGTGCGCCATCTGTCCGGTTCGACCTAGGGAACGCAGCTGACAGCGCATCCCCTAAGTCGAGAACGTCGTGAGAAGATGGTCAACTTATAATATAAAACCGCAATTTTATTTAACCCAAGGTGTACTATTTTTTAATCTGATTATAATATTATATTATATTATAGAAACGACCGAAAACGTCGATTAGGTCGTCGACATGTATATTGTATACCCATACAGAGCGGTGTTTTTGAAAACTGAAAATCATGCGTATAATGCGTATAATATTATAGTATACGTGTAGAAGTGTAGGTATATACCTAAGTGTCTAATATAGGTATTTAAAAATTACTGCGTGACTACCTATGGGATTCACAATTTTTTAGACGATTCACGATCGACACGAACACAATAATATTATGATAGTTCTGCGAGATATAGTTTAGGGTCAAGAAATATCATTAACAGACAATATATAATACTTCCGAAAGAGTGAGAAACAAAACGCGACTGGTTATAAAATTTGATCTATTGTCGGAAAGAATTCACGGCTCGCGCATGATGGAAGTATTTACCTATAACTATAGAAGTCGAGTATAGGTACTATAATATTATAGGTATATAATAATAATATTATACCTATTTAAAGGAATTTAAAATAGGCAAATAATAACGATCGTGTTTTAATGACACGTGAGAAATATCACGCAAGTATTTTTAAAATTTATATTAAAATATACAAGTGCGTGACGGTCGACTGAGGTGACTATAGACGAGTGAATACAATACAATATTTACGCAGACATAATAACTAATGAGCTTATATCATACACGCATACGCATAATGTTTATATTATAATATTATTTTATCATGGCAATTACAATGTGATATTGATATTATTATTTATTATAGTGATAAAATATTACAATTAAAAAATTAAATATATACCTACTGCTATTTAGGTAGTACCTATATCTACCTAAAATGGTATAGAACAAAGATTTCACAAAAAAACTGTCATTACGTCTTATATTCAATGTAAAATCAGTTTTTTGATAATCTTGAAACACCTATATATATTGACCTATATGTTATATAATAAGTATTTATATACATTGTATATAAGTAGGTAGGTACGCAAATTGTACGCATAAATATATATATATTTTAACGGGCAATAAAGGAATTATTATTATTATATTTGAGGCGCCTATATCTTCAAAACAGCTTAAGACTGCACCAAAGCTTTTATCTTAAGAAAATGTTTGTTGTGTTAGTCTGCAGGTATTGAAAATTGAAATCATTTATTATTCGTGTCTGTGCTGAAACTGCAAACTATGTGTTACCCGCTCATAATATTTCGAAATTTAAAATTTAAATATCATCAGTTTCCAGTTACTTATTAGGGGCCTACTTTCGTTAATATTATTTTACATGTTTTCATATTGTAATCAAAACAAAGGTTTTTGGTGTCGCGTTGTTATTAAGACCAATACAAAAAAAGAGTTTTTTTTCGCGTAAAGCTGTTCTGAGTGTTCTGCCACTGCTACATTAATATACATAAATAGGTATTATAATATATATTGTAGGATATATATAATAATATATTACCTATATTTATTTATTTATTTATAATACATAACACGCGGGTCGCCCCAATTCAAATAGGTTATACACTTATACATCAAAACTGCAGACAAGCTAAAATAACTATAACAATTTAAAACGGAAAAAGTATAAGAACGACATTGGAAATAACAATAACAGTTCAAAATATAGAGAGAAGTGGTGGGTCCTCGTCGGCCAGCTCCATCGTCCCATACCTACATGGATCGTTTTTTCGCGTTGGACAATGATTATAATATCATCTTTCCACCCGCATTAGGTACCATTGCGTATAATGCGGGTGCAACGATCTCGGCCGCTTGACGACGAAACTGGCACCGGCGGTCATCATGGCGGCGGCGGCGACGAGTACGCGACGGACAACACGGTGCGATGGTGCTGTTGCTCGTCGTCGTCGTAGTGGCGGAGTTGGTGGTGGTGCGTGTTGGTGCGTGCGTGTACGTGTGCGTGTGCCCGTGCGATCGATCCGGCGGGAAAAAGGGGGAGGGGATAACGACGCCGCGCCGGCCCGTTTACGCGCGCGTAACGCGTATGCAGTGTGCACACCGCACGCCATTCGTGTCGTCCTCTCCGTCGCGCGCATTCGGTCACCCGCTCTCACTCTCGCTCGCGCGCGGAACGCTCTTTCTGTTTTTTTCC